TGTATGCAAGTGTGTGTGTGGCGTGCGTGCTCATGTCTGTGCAAAATCTCACTGAGCGGCAGGGTTATGATTTGGGCAGTTTAAAGGATGTAGATGATACCTCAGAAAACAAAAGTCCCCAAGGGGGGACGATCCAGACAGTTGGCTGGCTGCGTCTCTTCTGAACTAGTGTCTGACCCCATGCTAATTTCCTCCTAGTACTTCTTTGAAGACTTATAGATTTCCCTAATCGTTTATTCCCTGACCTTTGCAGAGATCAATACACAGAAACACCTTGGATTTACTAGCAGGGGGTGGGGGAGGGGGCTCTAACAAAGTCAGTCCTTAGGGAAGCTCCTTCTGCGGCACCAATGATCTCCCTAAGTTGAGGAGGAGTGGGCGGCTTTGTTTCCCAAATCAGGTTTGCATCTGAATTACATTCTTCCCAGGGTTTTGACTCCTGTGAAAATCAGCTGGTGAGGGAGGCAGACTGCTGCTGAGTGAGATGTCTCATTGTTTTTGACTTGAATAAAGGAACAATCACGGTGTCCATTGTGCTCTGAATGGTGTTTTCATTTCTTCGAGCTGTGGGTGATTGGGTCGGTTCCTCCCTAATTGAATTGAAATTCCCACAGCGCTCTCCCCACCCAGCCTCCCTGTCAACTCATGCTGGGGGTGAATCTGGACCCCAACACCCTCTCCTCATTCCCTTTCCCTGGAACCTCCTGAGAGCAGACCAGGACTTACTTGTCCGTGTGACCTCAGGGGCCACTCCTCCCTCTGTGCAGCTAAGGGGGGAAGCTGCCAACCCTGGCAGAGCGTGGTCTGGGGATGGGATACGCTGGTTGCTCACACTGCCCTGTGCCCATTTCTATGGCCAGGATGTGGGTGGGGTCACCTGTACCAAACCATGCAGCTGAACATGAGGAAAAGGAGATTCCTGAAGAATGTGACCCCCTGATGAGGAACCTTGCACAGATAAGCCCGGCATACAAAACCCCAAGAACTCACTCCCAACACCGGTGGGCACAGAGCTATGAGCACACAACAGCTTTTTTTTTTTTTTTTTGAGACAGAGTCTCCCTCTGTTACCCTGGGTAGAGTGCCATGGCGTCATCATCAAACTCTTGGGCTCAAGCGAGCCTCTTGCCTCAGCCTCCCGAGTAGCTGAGACTACAGGGGCCCACCACCCTGCCCTATTACTTTTCTATTTTTAGTAGAGACAAGGTCTCACTCTTGCTCAGGCTGGTTTCCAGCTCCTGAGCTCAAGCAGTCCACCTGCCTCAGCCTCCCAGAGTGCTGGGATTATAGCCTTGAGCCACCGGGCCAGGCCTACATTGAGTTTCAAGGGGAGGGAACAGCTTGGAGAGCTTGGGGCCTGTCCTGGGACATAAGACACAGAAAGAGTTTTGTCAGAAGTCTGGGGTAGGCACCCTAGACTGCCCGTCTGCACAGCTCCGCCTGCACTGTGGCACCCACAGTCCCACCTCCTTCATGCTGAATGACTCTGCTTCAAGGCCTGCTCTCTGTGGACCAGCTCCAGCTTAGGCCTTGGGGAAGGAATCTCTCGGGAACTGGGTTAAGCCAGCAAGTGGCTGGCTTGGCCCTGGGCTGCAAGGCTCAAAGGCTCAGCTTCCTGTGGGCAGGGTGCCAGGACACTTGGTTTCTGTTTCAGATGTGAAAGAATGCATTTTCACATTTTAAGGATGTTGGTAATTTGCAGACCACATAAAATTTCCGTGTACACGTGTACATGTGTGTGCACACGTGTGTGTTCTGGAACCATGGAGTCCTGATTTTCCATGGCCCAGGGCACTGCTGTGGGCAACCAGAGTATCGAGTTAAGCACAGCTGTGCTGAGGAAGAGTGGGGGCCTTGGGGGGCCTTCGGGGCAGCACCCAGAACCCCTCCCTCCCAGCCTGAGAGCCACAGTGGGCAGGAACTGCTCTCAGGAAGCTTGTGGGAATGTCTGGCAGGACCCTTACACTGATGCTCCAAAGATCAAAATTTCCCCTTGTTTTTGCCCAGAAATATCTGGCTCTCTCTGCCCACACCCCCTGTTCTTTCCCCGCCTGCCTTTCTGTTTTGATCTTTGAACATTCCATTCAGAGCTAGACTCTGTGGTGGGGGGAGCCAGCAGGAGACAGGGTGCTGGGGTGGGGGCTTGGGAGCCAGAGGACACAGCTGGCCACAGCTCTCCTCCCACCCAGAGTGTCACCTGCTCACGAGTGTCAGATGCATGTCCACTCTCGGGGTTCCAAAGCACAGGCTTGGCTGGGGAGAGGCCCACTGTCAGAATCCCAGCCTGTATGACAAGTCTCCCTTGGGTCCTCGCCCTTGTTCCTAGGCGTGACCTCCCTGCATTCACCCTCTAGTTCTCCCATCTGTATACTGACATGAAGCCCATCAGAGGCTTGGAGATGGAGATGGGAGGCCGGAGGCCGGCTGGGGAGGCTGGGCACCCTGGGGGGGGAGTGGGCTGAAGGGGATGTGTATGCACAGGCAGGTATGTACACAGGGCCCCCAGGGTCCCTCGGGGTGATGGCTCCACCCTTCAGGGTCCGGCCCACACCTGCCTCTAAGGCCTTGGTTGAACTGCTCACTGTGGCCATCTGGAAGCTCCTTCAGGAGTTGAATGCAGCAGACCTCCCCAGTCCTGGGTCACCTGAAAGGGTAGGGAGGGGTGGAAGAGCCAGAGAGGAGTTAGGTACCCTGGTGCTGCTGGCTGGGCCAGACTCTACAGAGGCAGGTTAGGCAAAGCTGACGGCATCAGCTTTGGACATGAGACTTGGAGGTCCCTGTGACATCTTCCCAGTGTCCCCCAGGAGCTAGGGAGGTGACAAGGCCACCTTTCAAGAGAGGCATCTGTGGAATGCCCAGTGGTACAGGACCCTGGGCTGGGGCCGTGGAGACTGCACACGGGCAGCAGTACCCGTGTCCCGGAGCTCCCACGGCCAAGGACGCTCTCAGGGAAGGTGGGGGTGGAAGAGCAGGAGCGACACCTCCCTCGGGCAATGCAGGGAGGCTGCAGAGGGGGTCACATGTGTGCCAGGATGGGGTCAGCAAGCACTGGGAGAAGCCAGGATTCTGAGCCTCTCTCCTCCCTTTACACTCCCCCCCCCCCACTTTTGCCCTCTGGTTCTGCCCCAGGGCACCGGTCCCACTGAGTCTGTGCTGGGCTGAGGCACAGCATACCAGGCCTGGATGCACAGGGAGGAAGGCAGGCGGATGGCCCCCATTGACTGGCTGGGGCTGAGGGGGGAGCCCCTCCCCTGCCTGCATCCTCCTGCAGGCCCACTTCCTTCCCGCTCTGTCAGAGGAAGCAGCTGTCTTGGTTTGTCTGGGGTGGCTCAAGACACCCCAGATCCAGGCTGAGAATTGGGTCAGCCTCTGAGGCATCTCCAGGTGCTCAACCCAGTGCTGGGCCCAAGAGTGGCCCCAACTTCCCCCAGCAGCCTCTTTCTGGCTGCGTTCACAGTACATACTGGGCAGGGGAGGCCGACGGGCAGAATCCTCTGATGCCAACCTGGGTAACATCCCCAAGGAAGCCCTTGGAACTGAGCCCACAGCCAGGCCAAATGCTACCTCCCCAGAAAACTCTGCCTGGCGGGGGTGGTGGGCAATTCCGGCCCCTCCCTGTGAAAACAATTCACAGTGTCAGGGTGAAGATGGTCTCCTGGCCCTCCTGCTGGCCAGGAACAGTGGTCTCCAGCACTTAGACAGGAAGCTGCAGGGCCTAAGCTCAGTCATTGCTTTATTACTGTCCCTCTGCCCCTGTCCCCGCCCCGCTTCCTACTTGACTAATCTATTTCTTCAGCAAATGATTAGTGTCAAGGATGGGAAGGGACAGCCGGTAAAGAGACCCCAAGCCCTTCCCCGTGGAGCCTACTATCCTCTGGTGAGGTCCTACCATCCTCTGCTGGCTTCTCCAGGGAGTCCTTCCTCTGGCTAGGTCTGTCTCAGGGCTGAGGCCACATCTCTTTTAGCCTGAAGATGACACTGTGTGATGTGGCTGTGCCTCCCTGGAGCCAGTAAGTGGCAGTCACTGCCACCATCAGCACCTGTACCCCACCACCATCATCAAGGAGGGACAAGATTCCTGGGGTCCTGTGAAGCCACTGCCTGGCTCCTCGGCCTCAGCAGTGAACACTCAGTGTCTCCAGCCCCCATGCAGGTGGGCCCTTCTTTAAGGAAACTTGGCACCAGAGGGTGCCACTCTGGTTCACCCCTTGTAAAAACCCCTAGTGTCTTGACTCCTTCGGGAACACTGTGTCCCTGCATGGCTGCCCTCAGCCCCTGCCTGCCCTGAGGTCACAGCTGTGCCTTCACTTTCCACCTGCAGCTGCTCCAGTCAGGGCTGATTCCTGCAGCGACAGTCCAGGTAACGCTGAGGTGGGTGACGGTGGGGCTCTGGTGTCCCTCAAATGCATAGGCCTGGTCCCCAGACCCTCCCTGTGGGCCCCTGTATCTCCTAGCAGGAGAGGCAGCATAGGCCCTCCCAGGGACCCATGTTGCCTGTGAGCAGGGTCGGCTGATGGCAGGGGCATGGCGGCCGAGCACAGCTGGGAGGAAAGGTTCCAGGGTGGTGGACAGGAGCACATGGCTGGCAGGACATTTGGTTCCCATGTCCTTGCCAGGCATTTAAGCAAATGCCGAGGCAGGAGAGTGAGGGCTGCTCCGAGGACCAGCAAAAGAGCACCCACATCAGGTTCAGCTATCCCATTCCAGTACGCCCATCGCAATCACCACTACTACAGTATCCCCAAACACACTGGCCCTACCCAATACCTCTGTCATAGTGTCCCCACCCATCATAGTACCTCCATCATAGTACAATTACGTAAGCAGAGAATGCCCGACCCATCAAAGTACCCACATCACAGTACACTTACCTCATCATAGCACCACATCACAGTACTTCCTATCAAAGACTCCCTACCACAGAACCCGGGCTCGATCAGAATATTCCCTCACAGAACCCCTGCTCCATCACAGTCCTCCCTCACAGAGAACCTGCTCCATCACAGTACTCCCTCACAGAGAAACTGCTCCATCACAGTACTCCCTCACAGAGAACCTGCCCCATCATAGTACTCCCTCACAGAACCCTGCTCCATCACAGTACTCCCTCACAGAACACCTGCTCCATCACAGTACTCCCTCACAGA